GGCTATTCTGGTACAGACGGATGAAGACTACTGTTTCAGGATTATAGGCTACCTTACCGCCTGTCCTTGTTACGGGGCAAGGCAAGGGAACCAATTCGTTTTTAATTAAAATGTTAAGTTAAAAGACTTAGCAATTTTTCTATACTACTTGAGGCCTATGGCTGGATGCATTTAAAGAATTATCTGCTCTATATAGTCGTTTGCCGCTTGGTTTGGGGCAATTACCATAGTTATTGATTGACTCAGAAACCATTCATACTCTTTAAAGTATAAAAATTTCTAAGTCAATCAATCCATGTAGCTGAAACCAAGCAACATCCGGCCAGGGGCAAGAACATTCACATACTATACAGGTTAAAATACTTAACCAAAATTCTATGTATGAAAATTGAAAGCTTTAAAAAATTTTAAAGCATAAACACCAATATAAATAAAACTATTCAAACGACCGGATGCTTCATAGAAGTAAAAGCCGTCAAAATTGACAACTGTAAATGTTAAACTGGCAAAGCCAGAAATTGTCATGTTACCTGACTCCTCGGTCGGTAAAAGATACATTGAATACTCAGCACACAGGCCTGAAAAGAAAAATAATTGGCCATCCGCCGCAGAAAGAAAAAACAAAAAGCTTAAAGATCAGGGGAGCTTCTTAGTATCGGCATCCGTCTTGTCCTCCGACGCATGCTCCTTGGACTCCTCATTCCCCTCCTGATCATCCTCCTCGTCCTCAGAAGACGAGATGCCTTACGAACTAGACTCCTCGGGGGCATTCTTGGCAGCCGCCTCCTTCTCGACCGCCTCTTCAGCTTCCTTGAGGAGTCGGTCATTCAACTCGTCATTTGCCTTATCAAACTGCGCCTTCCAAGTTTGATAATCGGCAGACGGCTCCACAGCTGCCCAGGCCGCACGCATGATGACCTCATTGTCTTCCATCATTTGTTTCACCAAGGCTTGTTTCTCCTCCTCCATCAAGGACCTATACTTGGTCCGGAGTTGGGTCTCCTGGTTTTGCAGCCGCCCTCGGAGTCTGTTGACCGTATCCCCAAGGTTAGATGCCTTGGATTCCGCCTCCTTGAGAGTCTCCAAATTCTTCTTAAGGCCCTTGACCTGCTCCTAGAGCTCCTTCACCCGCTGCTTTGCCGCGTCCAAGTTCTTCCGGTTTTGCAGATTTGCTGACACTTAGGAATACAACATATCAAGTGTCAGAATCTCATTTTGAGCAATCTCGAACTAAGCTTTGTATAGAGTAGAGGCGGCCCGAGCATTCACTGCCTTTACCTCCCTGGTCTTCGCGTTGAGTGGCCCTTTAAGACCGCTCACGCGCAACATAGCCTGCAGACGTCTAAAGCAAGGAAATTCATTAGAAACCATTCAGCAAAAATATCAACCAATTCATAAGATGAAGTCTTTCCTCGCAAAGAAGCGCCATTATGCCGTCAAGGTCAAGGGTACTGACTCCTCTGACGGCAGCCTTGTCCTTAGGATCAAGCGTCCTAAGCATTGGCCTAGCCATCTGAAGGACAGTTTGCCTCACTAGAGCATCTGTCAATATAAATACAATTAATTTAAGATTTTTTTAAGACAGTTGGACTTCTTGAAGCGTATGGTCGGATGGTCGGATGACTTACCTTCTTCTCCCCCTGCGGCTTCGCTGCCGCCTGCTGTGCTGCCAGCAGCGGTGAGTGGCTGCTTGCCACTCTTTGACGCTCGTTGTTGAGCGGTCGGCTTTGTTGGAGTTTGATTAAGGGAAGAGGTGCCCGTTCCCTTCTTCGGCTTAGTGGCAATGTGTTTCCTACGATTCCCAGAAACGTCGTCAACCGACTGCTTGCGCAGTTTGGGATCCGGTTGAGAAGAGGGGGCAGGCTTTGATGAGCCACCCTGAAAAGAATTTTAAGTGTGAGACCTTGAGACAAAATACAATAAGTAATTCAATGAAGAAATTTTTCAAGGACTGAACAGTTTGTTACCTTAGGAGTGCCGCTTGGCGGCTACTCATCCGCTTGCTTGAGGTTCGAGCAGTAGAAGGCTGCAAAGATAGCCGGCTTGCTTGAGGGAAGCTTGGCCATTGCTACGTCTGCAACAAACAACAAAAAGATTTAGCAATGAAATAAATAAGAAACAATGTGGGTAGCAAAGCTAATAAATTGAAGCGGCTAGCTACCTCTCGGCATCTCAGTACTAAGGCCGAAGGCGGCCAAGTACGTCCCGTCCGAGAGACACTCAAGTTGGGGAATACAACTTTGGGGGGTGACTTCCTTGACCCCCGTCTCATTGTTCATTCAGACGGCCACAGTAAAAAGGCCCCGATAAAAAATCGCCTCCTGCGCCTGCCTGGGAACAGGCGGAAGGGCTTTCTTCGCAGCCAGGAGGAGCGGATACTGAGTCCAGCAGTTGTACCACTTGTTCTTTTTGAAATATGGGGAAGAGACTATGTAAAATTTTGTTGTCCAATCCTTCCATTTGTTCTCTTTCCCCAAAGTCATCATATAATGGGTATAGCTGGTCAAAGTAAACCAGCCGATCCCGCTTGAATTTGGAGTCCTGCTCAGGTAGTGCATATGAGCAAACGCCTCGAAGTTGGGCTCCACATCCAGCATCTCATAGGCGGAAACGTAGCCCAAAATGTTAACCCAAGAATTGGGGGCTAGTTGCCAGATACCCAGATGGTATCCGTCCAAGATCCTCTCCATGGCTGGATAAAGAGGGAAGCATAGTCCTACCTAGATGGCCGCCTCGTAGTAGCCGAAGCACTGGTCACCATAGCAGGCCATCTCAGGCAAGGTGACCGTGTCTATAGCATCCGGCACGGATAAAATGAACTCATGTCCCATGACATGGGTAGAAAGAAACTTGGCCAGATCATCCTTCATGGTTAGCCGCCTGCCTTCGGCAACGTGCAAACAATAAGGAGCACGCTCATGTCGCTTGGAAGCAGACGACTCCTCCCAGCCCTCTCCCTTCTCAACGGAGAGGGACTCTCTGACAGCATTGAGGTTCGACTGCGCCTTCTCCAAGTCAAGGGGGACGCAGTTGGAGGATGATGACGCGGAGTCATCATCAGAGTTCTCTTTAGGGCTGGGGGCCTGCCGGCAGGTGCCAACAGTGTCCTCCCCCAACTCATCATCCGGTACCGATCCACTCGGCCCGGGGTTCTCATACTCTTCATCACACTCCTCTAAGAATGAGTCACTAAGAGTGCTGACGGTGCTAGGAGGTTCTCTACTAACTTCAGAGACAGGTGCCCTAATGGAGCCGTTAGAAAAAACAGTCTCACTTTCCGAATGGTACCAAGAACCATCCGTCCTATATCTCCTTCTCATCTGCTTTGTTCTAGCCATCGTGTCCTGTAGGGGCACAGACATTGTCGGATTTGGAGATTTACTTAAAGGAAAGTTCTCGAACGAGCATTCGGCACTCCTAGTTCTAGATTCAGCCATCCCCGGTGACCGGCTGATCGCTAATCTAGGTCGTGCCAGGTGAGTTTGGGAAACCATTTTTGATAAAGAAAAAATGTAAAGAAATAAGTAAAGAAGGGATCAGGCGGTTACCTTAGAAGAAGGTAACAAGAGGCGTCGGTCTGGGGCGTCAGGTTGAGCAGGCGAACTAAGATAGCAAACTGTCGGATGCTGAAGAAGTCAAAGTCTTTGCAAGTCAAATTCAAAGATTCTCCCAAAGATTCACGCAAATGTGAATGTAAGGGAGGTCAAGCCCTCTATTTATAGAGAGGGTAAAATGTTCAGGGTAAAACCCTAGAACTAAGTGAACAGTGATAAGTAACTTTTTGGCCACTCACAGCTTGACACTTGTCACAGGCGTCACGTGCCGAGCACGTGACCCCTGTGAGGGGAAAATGTTTTGGGTATTTTATACCCGGCCAAGTGGCCCAACCAGAGTCTGTCATGTGTCACTGGATTTGGGGTATTTGATGATCCACCTTGGACCTTGCAGATGGTGACACGTGTCAGACAGATACAGTCCATGATTTGGGGTATTTGATGATCCCAATTGGATCAATAAGAGAGTGACACGTGTCGCCCTAAGAGACGCCCAAATGGCCTTTCAGAATGTGCGACACGGGTCACTCAGATATTACTTCTGAAATGGCGTCCTTCAAAGGACCAAACTTTGAGGCACCGCAAAACGACGAACCCTAATCCCTAGGTCATCAAACCCTAGGGGGTTCACACTTCCCCAAAAGAACTTATAAATAGGGACAATTCCCTCATTTATGACGGGACGTCACATCAACATTGATTACAGAGCTGTTGTTCTCAAGAAACAGACAGCACCTGAGCTTGGAATCCAAGTAGATAACTTTATTTCCGCACGTTTTACTCTAAATACTGTACTAACTTAATCTTTGGAGGCGGACCACCGACCATCCGGCGGACCATTTGCTTTGCACGTACAGGCGACCTTGCAGAATCCAGTCTTGAGCTGTAACTCTCCCGAGGGACACAAAAAACCCCAAAACAAAACCCATCTCAAAATCACTAAGATAATGAAATAGGGGTCTTAATCAAAGCCAACACAAAGTAAAGCTAGGATTAAGGTGTAACCAAAAAAATTACAAGGTAACAATCACAAAGAAAGCAAGATAATCACAATGATTTTATGGTGTAGAGAGAAAGTCTCTTTGATTACAAAATCAAGCAAAGTTCAATATTTATTGAAATGAAAAAACGTCTTAAAACAACTTAAATAGTTCGCACAAGTTGACAAAAAGACGGGAAAAGGTTCGGCCGAACTTAGGGTAAGTTCGGTAGAATTTGTGGGTAGGTTTGGCCTAACCTAGGGATGGTTCGGTCGAACTGTCCTACTCTTAGTTCGGTCAAACCTTTGGAGTTCGACCACTGCTGCAAAACTAACAAAATCGGGTTTAAAACTGCCTAAAATGTCCATAACCTCTACACTTGTAGCAAGTCTTCCGATTGCTCATCTTGTTGTAATCATCTTTGCTAGTAGAGTGTCCAAATAGTAGAGCTATGATGATTCATGAAATGGAAGATGTTGAGTACGAAGATGAGAAGAGGGATTTTGGAGACCCTATTTATGATGAAGGGGATGAGATTCTAGTTGAAGCCTATGAGGGTCAAATCCTTGTTATGAGGAGGGCACTTTACTCCATTTCTACCCCTTTGGCGGAAGAGAAAAGGGAAAACATCTTCCGAACTCGTTGCACCATTAAGGATCGAGTTTGCAACCTTATCATTGATTGTGGCTCTTGCACTAATGTGGCTTCAACAACATTGGTGATCAAGCTCAATCTTGAAACTACCGATCATCCTACTCCCTACAAGATTCAATGGCATAACAATCACAATGAGGTGAAGGTAATGAAACAAACACTTCTTTCTTTCTCAATTGGCAAGCTATATAAGGATGAGGTGCTTTGTGATGTACTTCCTATGGATGCTTGTCATGTATTGCTTGGTAGACCTTGGCAATTTGATAGAGATGTAATGCATGATGGAAGAAAGAACACTTTTTCATTCATGATGGATAAGAAGAATATTGTACTCTACCCCTTGTCCCCCACCATCAAACACAAAGAATCTTTGGGTACAGGAAACACCATCAAAGAGAAACTTCTAATTGGGGAAAATAAGATAGGAAAGGAGATAAATCAAGGACACCTTGTATTTATTTGTCTTCTTAGGGAAACACAAGAGAGTGAGCGAGAGAACCCAATCCAACCCCTTGTAAAGGAAGTATTGGTTGAGTACCATGATGTTTTTCCCGATGATCTCCCACCCGGTTTGCCACCTATTATGGGAATTGAGCATCAAATCGATCTTATTCCTGGATCACAACTCCCTAATAGACCGACTTATAGGTGTACCCTCGATGAAGCAAGAGAGCTTCAAAGACAAGTTGGTGAGTTGATGAAAAGAGGATTTGTGAGAGAATCCCTTAGCCCTTGTTTGGTATCGGCTCTTTTGGTTCCGACAAAGGATGGTACATGGAGGATGTGTGTGGATAGTAGGGCCATCAATAACATCACCATCAAGTATCGCTTCCCTATTCCCCGACTTGATGATATGCTAGATGAGTTACATGGTTCCAAGGTGTTTTCAAAGATTGACTTGAGGATGGGGTACCATAAAATTCACATGCGTGAAGGAGATGAGTGGAAGACCGCTTTCAAGACAAAGCAAGGCTTTTATGAGTGGTAGTTATGCCATTTGGGCTCACTAATTCTCCTAGCACTTTCATGAGGCTCATGAACAAGGTACTCGCCCCTACATTGGTAAAACTGTTGTTTATTTTGATGACATATTTGTTTATAGCAAATGTGAACTTGATCATGTTAAACATTTAAGTCAAGTATTTGAAACATTGAGAAGTAGGTGGCTTTTTGCCAAGTTGGAAAAATGAACTTTTATGGTGGATATTATTGTTTTTTTTTGGTTATGTGATTTCGAATGTAAGGATCTCAATGGACCCTAGTAAAGTGGAGGCCATTCAATCTTGGCCAACTCCTACTACTCTCACTCAAGTTAGGAGTTTCCATGGTCTAGCTTCCTTCTATCGAAGGTTTGTGAAGAATTTTAGCACTATTTTGGCCCCGGTGACCGAATGCATGAAGAAGGGTACTTTTAAGTAGACACCATCGGCTCAAAGGCCTTTTGAGACCCTCAAGAAGAAGTTGTGTGAGTCTCCAATCCTAGCTCTTCCGAATTTTGATCAACCCTTTGAAGTTGAATGTTCTGCTAGTGGGGTTGGAGTTGGAGTGGTTCTTGTGCAAGAAGGGAGACCGGTTGCTTATTTAGTGAGAAGCTTGGTGGAGCAAGAATGAGATATAGTACTTATGACAAGGAGTTATATGCTATTGTTAGGGCTCTTTATCATTGGTCACATTACTTGAGGCCTAGACCATTTGTGCTACACTCCGATCATGAATCACTCAAGTATATCAATGGTTCTCATAAACTCAATGCAAGGCATGCTAAATGGGTTTAATTCCTCCAATCATTCGCTTTCTCTTCGAAGTACAAGGAAGGGAAGAGCAATCTTTTTTGCCGATGCTCTTTCTAGGAGGCATTGTATGATCACTATTCTTGATGCAAAGTTTTTAGGGTTTGAGTTGCTTAAAGAGTTGTATAGCAATGATGAGGATTTTGGTGGGTTGATGAAGAAGTGTGAGGAAGGGGTCAATGGCTCTTTAATGGTGCAAGAGGGTTTCCTTTTCAAGGAAAACATGCTTTTGGTTCCGAAATGCTCTCATCGACGGTTGCTTGTTAAAGAAGCTTATCAAGGAGGACAAGCCGGACACTTTGGGGTTGCAAAAACATATGACATTCTTCGAGAACATTTTTATTGGCCCAAAATGTTTGGTGATGTGCAAGATGTGATAGCTCGTTGTGGGGCTTGTCACAAGGCTAAGAGTCAATTCCGTGAAGGACTCTACTCTCCTCTTCCGGTCCCTAGTCACCCTTGGGATGATCTTAGTATGGATTTTTTTGTTGCTCTCCCTCGCACTCAAAGGAAAAATAATTCCGTGTTTGTTGTGGTAGATCATTTTAGCAAGATGGCTCACTTCATTCCTTGCCACAAGACCAATGACGCTTCTCATGTGGCTACCTAGTTCTTTAGAGAAGTGGTGAAGCTTTATGGCATTCCAAAAAGTATTGTGTCGGACCGAGATCCTAAGTTCTTGAGCTACTTTTGGAAGACTTTGTGGAAGTTAGTGGGAGCCAAGCTCTTGTTTAGTACCTCTAGTCACCCTCAAACCAACGGCCAAACCGAGGTTACTAATCGTACCATGTCCACCGTTCTCCGAGCTATCATTAGCAAACACATGAAAGATTGGGATCTTAAGCTACCTCAAGTTGAATTTGCTTACAACCGCTCTCATGACATATCTACCGGGAAAACACCATTTGAAGTAGTGTATGGTTTCAATCCCTGCCTACCACTTGACTTGTTGCCTAGTATCCCTCAAGAGGAGTTGAGCTTTGAGGAAAAAGATAGAGTTAAAACGATGAAAAAGCTTCATGAAGATGTCAAGAAGAGAATTGAGAAGGAAAATGAGAGTTACAAGGCAATGGCAAAAAAAATTCAAAAAGCCAAGGGAATTCAATGTAGGTGATCTTGTGTGGCTACATCTTCGGAAGGAAAGATTCTAGGCTAAGAGAAAGAACAAGCTCATGCCAAGATCTGAAGGCCCTTTTGAAGTTATGGGGAGAGTTAGACCTAATGCTTACAAACTCAAACTATTAGGAGACTTTGGAGTTCATGCTACCTTTAATTTTGGTGATCTTTCTCCTTCTCTTTTTGAAGATGATATTGGTGATGATGATCCGGAATCGAGGGAAATTCCTTTTGAAGAGGAGGGGTTTGACACAGATGCATGGAACTTTAGTGGAAGAAGTGGAAGACGTGCCACGTGTCGTGACAAGAAGTCGGGTTAAGCTTCCTAGAGGTCACCTTTCGGGACTAACCATCATCACAATGGAAGACAAAGAGAATTCAAGAGGTTTGGCCAAACCAAGGAAGTCCAACCGAACCAGTAGAGTGCATGGGAGCCTTGCCTTAGTCATCCTTGGCAATGGGCTTGCTTGTCTCACCCTTTGGAGCAAAATAACTCTTGAAGGTAGGCTTAGTACACCCACTAGCACTACTCACCTTGTCATACTTCTCAAACTTCAAAGCCTTTTGCACCACTTGATCAAAACTTCCATGGGCATGCACATCAACCTTTTGCCCAAGCTTTCTTTCAAGACCACCTATATAACTAGCAATATTATGCTCCGGTGCTTCTTCAATTCCACTCATGATAGAAAGTTTCTCAAACTCCCTAGTATACTTCTATATCGACATAGTTCCTTGCTTAAGAGATTTCAATTTAAGATGAGCATCTTGCAAATAATCTTTAGGCACAAAGGCCTTGTTCATATGTTTCTTCAATTTCTCCTAAGAAGTGATTTTTAATTTTCCATCTTTCCTCCTACGATTCTTTAAGTTCTCATACCACAAAGAAGCATGTTTTTTGAGTTTAAGGATGGCCAATTTGAAACCTTTTTCATCATTATAACCCTTATATTCAAACACATTCTCCATACTTCTAACCCAATCAAGAAATTCATTAGGATCAATATTACCTTCAAAGTTCGGAAATTCCAACTTGATATCTCGGTCACGGTTGTCCTCATGGTGTCGTTGGCGGTGTTCCCTTCTTCAGTGAGGAGAGTGAGAGTCATCTTCTTCACTAGGGCTTCTCCTTCTTCTGGGACTTCTTCTATTCTCCAAAACCTCAAGAAGTCTATCAAACTTCATTTCTAGATCATCCAATCTAGAGTGTTCATAGTAATTTTCATCATATTCATAATAGTATCTATCACCCATGTTTTAATATAGAAAGCTTGTATTTCTTAGAGAAATATCAAATTTTTGTGGGAAAAGATGAGATCTTTTGAGAGGGGGAAAGAGAAATTCAAAAAGGTAGGATCTTTATAGGCTAATAACCTAGGCTCTTGATACCAAATGATATGAAATAACCAACAAAACCCAAGAAAAAGGGAGGAGAAATCAAGTAACAACAGGTTCAAACCAACAAAATAAGGTAAACCTATCTCAAAATCACTAAGATTAATGAAATAGGGGTCTTAATCAAAGCCAATACCAAGTAAAGCTAGGATTAAGGTGTAACCACAAAGATTACAAGGTAGCAATCACAAAGAAAGAAAGATAATCACAAAGATTATGGTAGAGAGAGAAAGGCTCTTTGATTACAAAATCAAGCAAAGTTCAACATTAATTGAAATGCAAAAACGTCTTAAAACAACTTAAATAGTTTGCACAAGCTGACAAAAAAACGAGAAAAGGTTCGGCCGAACTTAGTGTAAGTTCGGTCAAACTTGTGGGTAGGTTCAGTCGAACCTAGGGATGGTTCGGTCGAACTGTCCTGCTCTTGGTTCAGTCGAACCTTTGGAGTTCGACCACTGCTGCAAAACTGACAAAATCGGTTTGAAACTTCCTAAATGGTTCGGTCGAACTTCCTTGGTTCGGCCGAACCTCTTCAATTCTTTTTGTCTTCAAGTGTGATGATGTTTATTCCCAAAAGGTGACCTCCAAGGAGCTTGGCCTGACTTTGTGTCACAACACATGGCACGTCTTCCACTTCTTCCACTTAGTTCCATGCACCCGCGTCACATTGGACTGTGGATGGCATACTACGGATACGCAAATTTGACCTTATACATAGCCAAAAGATCTTTCATCGGCTTGCAATAAAATTGAGACCCATGGTCAAAAACCATTGCCATCGGTAGCACAAACCTTGTGAAAATATTATTCCAAATAAACTTCTTGACCTCGGCAACGGATATCTTTGTCACTAGTTCAGCCTCTATCCATTTTGAGAAGTAGTTAATGCCAACCAGAGGAACTTCTTTCCACCTATTGCTGATGGAAACGGCCCTACTATATCCATTCCCCATTGGAAAAAAGGAACCGGATTTAGTATAGGCGTTAACTCCGTTGAGTCATTTGAAGGTAGGTTGATAGCTAGAGAAAACTTTTGGCATTTTTCACATTTTTTTTACATATCATGAGGCATCATCATTCATTGTTGGCCAGTAATACCCCCTTCTCATTGCCTCTCTAGACAAGGCCTAGGCACTAAGATGGTTCACACAGGTACCTTCATGTATCTCTTCGATCAACCTATGTGACTCATTAGCCGTTATGCACCAACGGTAGTGAAAATCCCCGCTTATATAAATGCTCCTGACACATAACGAACCATACACTATCCCTTTGCAGCTTTCGAGACTCTGCCTTATCAACCGGTAAAGTGTCGTAAAGGAGATATCTAAATATTTGATCATACCACTGACTATCGGTTTCAATGCATAGAATCTGCTCTGAAACTTCATCTATGCTTCTTTGCCTCAGAATTTCAACTATCACCGTTCTCTCAAGGTCATTGAAACTTTAGCTAGATAATCTTACCACGGCATCAGCCTGGGCATTTTGTGCTCTTGGAACCAACTGTACCTCAAAATGTTGTAATTGTGCCGTCAACTGATTTATCTTTTCAAGATATTTTACCATGTTAGGTTCCCGTGCCTCATAATCTCCACTAAATTGATTTGACGCCAACTGAGAATCTGTTTTTAGAATCAAGCGCTTTGCCTCCGCCGCTATTGATAACTGAATCCTAACCATGGCT